TTTCTCTCCAATTACAAAGGAAGCCGATGCCAGGCAGTGAAACCTGAGAGATTTTGAACGGAAGTGAAACTAGATATGTTTTTCTTTTGCATTTTTGGATCAAATTACAATAATATAAACATAAGAAACGTTAGAAAGGAGAAAAATTACATAAATAAACGATATAATCGTATTTTCTGATGACTGTAATGCCAGATTTTTATTAAAACAACGTGATTATATTAAAAAAGCTGCGATTACGATTTTTAAGCTTAGTGCTTAACATAATCCCTCTTGAATCATTTCTATCACCCCCCAATAAATCATAAAACGGCGCAGTCCATTTTAAACCAATGGGAGCACAGGTAGAAATGATTGACAGGTGAAATGACGTCACTTACGTGACGTGACGTCACGTCACGATGAGGAAAACCATTTTGCACTGGACAGTACATTATAAGTTGCTCTCATTTCATGCTGGACTTGATATGGAGCCAACGTCCCAGAGTTCTCATTGATAACTTTCGTGTTATTCTGACATGGAACAGTTGTCCGTAATCTTTTGAGTCAGTTTTTTTTAAGTGTTAAGTGTTGAAAAGTGTTTGTTATCCGATCTGTTCGTTAACCGATCACCCACTGTATACTATACTAATAATGTATTTTTTTTTTCATTCTTTTCGGTTATCGGATTTTTTCGGTTATCCAACCAACCTTAGTCCCAATTGAATCGGATAATCGATGCTCTAATGTATAGTAATTTTCTTAAGATCTGAAATGTTCAATTTACTTTTGAAATAATTTTAATGTTATACAATAAATAAAAGCAATAATTTAAAAATGATTGACAAATGAAAACCATCATAGAATAATAGCAAATTTCAAAAATTAATAAACTTGACTTAAAAAAAAATTTATGTTGAGATTAATTTAAAATATTACCTGTAAAGTTCTGTTTTGACAGAAGTAACTCTTTGTTTACATCAGTTTTCAATTTATTTTTATACAAATTATCAATTTCTGTCCGATCAAACAAGTTCTTTACAACATCATTTTTCTTCAACTGGCTCGCAATATTACCAGACGAATGATAGAGCATCCTGTAATGTCATTTGCATAATATTCAAATGTTCATTTATTACAAATTTCTTTTTTAAACATTTCAATACTAATGTACTGTAAGTAACAGAATGGAAGATCTATTAAAAAACTAATAGAAATATGAAATTTGTTATTAAAATTATAGATCATATATTACGTAAAAGTTGAAGGAATGTTTAAAATCTGTTCAAAAAGCCTTTGCACGATTATTATTGAAATTATTTGTTATGAAATAATTATGTATGTGAATGACATTCCTAATTTGTTAACATCTCCGATGTCTAAAACTGAGAGCCAAATTATTTAAGAAAATATTTGGAGGATCTACATTTAACTTCTAATGTTAAACAAAACTTTTTAAATTGGCAATTTATAGAATTGCTGTTTACAAGAATATTTAAGTCTAAGCTTTTAGTATTATACAAATTTAAAAAACCATTTGAATACTTTTCATTATGACTACAGGTATAGGACAAAATAATAGGAACACCTGTGAAAAAATTCAAAATATTTATTAATAGGGAGTTGGGACACCATTGGCCTGAATTACAGCTTGTATCTGGCATGGGATTGAGAAATAAAGGTCATGCAGAAAGTTTAAGGGAATTCGCAGCCATTCCTCTTGCATAATGGTCTCAAGTTCAGGTAGTGTGCATGGAGGAGGAAACCAAGCACGGACTTTCTTTTAAAAAACTCCACTCAGGCTCAATGATTTTGAGATCAGGGGACTGAGGACACCACATGAGATGTTCCACTTCATCATTATGCTCATCCAATCATGTTTGAACACAGTGAACTGTGTGTACAGGGGCGTTGTCATCTTGGAATAGAGTATGAAGTATAGGGTGTAAATGATCTGCAAGAATACTGCGATAATGCTCGCCTCTTACCTTCTTCCTCAGGACTACGAGTGGCCCCAAGCCACGCCACAATATCGCTCCCCATAGCATCAAAGAGACCCTCCATGCTTCACGGTAGGAACCAGACAGTCAACATGAAATGTTTCTGCTGGTGTTCGCCAGATGAACACACATTTGGTTGTCTGAAATAATGTAAATGATGATTCATCAGACCAGATGACCAGTTCCTATTGCTGTTGTGTCCAGTTTCGGTGGTCTCAGCACAACTGTTGTCACTTCATAGCATTCTGCGGCGACACTAACGGCTTTGGAGTGGCTACTCGGCCATGAAAGCTTGCAGCATGCAGCTCCCGTTGAATAGTTTTGGTGGATACAGGGTTCTGGAGATGGGTGTTCATCTCTGAGGTTATCTGCTACAGTGTAGTCTTACGTTTTCGGGACTATCCTCTTCAACACTCATCTATCCTGGTTGTCAACTTCGACTTTCGCCCACTGTTCTGCTTTGCAGAGGACACCTTTCCCAGTTTAGTGTAGTCTATCATAACTACAGTGACCATATTTTTGGGGGGGAAAATAAAGGACATATTGAAGAAAATCAAAAAATACCTTATAAAATTCATAAGTTTATAACATTTATTATGAAAATAGTAGCATACAACAAAGCATACATTAAAATTTTAAACAATCTGAATTATTACACATACACACATTGTAAAAATTTAAATAACATTAATTTTGATACTTTTCAGTAGAATTAATTTTTTTTTAGCGCCGTTTCACGCTTTAAAGTCATAAAATTCCATACAGTTCATTTGAAAGTTGTATTTGATGGAAATACATGCTTCTAATGTGCTTACTTTTAAATCAGTTTTTTCATTCGTCCACATATTATTCACCAATGAAAATATTCGTTCAACGGGGGCATTAGATCCAGGGAGACAAAGAAAATTCTACGATTTTACAAATGTTTTTGAAAACAATTTCTTTTGCTGTAAAATGTTCAAAAATCTCAATCCACCTTTGATGGCAGGGCTGGTTATTCTGTCACCATTCGTCGATCTTTTCGTTTGTGACATATTTTTTTACACATGAAACTTCATCAAATAATTCACCGTCGAGTATATTTACGGACCAATGATTCGAAATAAAGATATAGCTTTCCTCTACTTTCGCCCACAAAGGGATTTCGCATAATGTGACCCATTCAAACACCTCTATTTCAATAAAAAACATGTCCCAATTATTTAGATAATCTATGCACGTTTGATAAAATGTGTACACAGCATCATTGAATTTTTTGGCTTGTATATTTTCTGATTTTTCTAATGCTAAAACCACTTTTCTAATAACAATAGGAAGAAACCCCTCATTTTTTCTTTCAACTAACTTCAGCTTTAATTAACAAGTGTATCATCCATCAACTAGAGAGTTAAAAAACTATCACAAAAATCCCCATAAGAGTGTCCACCCCCTGGTACTGTCAGTGGGCCGTTTGGTTGGCGACACACTGCACTACTGCGCTCTATGTAGCAATGCAACACTGGTCGTGATGGCGTATACAAAACTAACTTGTTCAATATATTATTAAAAAAAATTTTTTTAAACTTTGCGTCAACTTTACAAAATAAAGGACAAAATGCCTATTTTAGAAAATAAATAAAGTTAAAGGACAGAGCAGTGAAATAAAGGACTGTCCTCTTAAATAAAGGACGTATGGTCACTGTAATCATAACCCTTGATACAGTAGACCTTGAAACACCCATAAGGTTGGCTGTTCTAGTCACGGATGCTCCAGCGAGGCGAGCTCCAATAATCATACCTCTTTGCACGTCAGACAGGTCAGACATAATGGTGCTTTGCTGGGAACAGACTTTTCTCATGCAACTGTCACACCACCAAATGCTCAACTGATACCTTTCCTTTCACCACCACTGGATGGCAGACTGTTGCGACACTTGGTGGGGCTGTATTGGACATTTGAAGTACAACACATTTCGAAAGGGGTGTTCCTATTATTTTGTCCTATATCTGTACATTTAAATGGCTGTCATTGTAATTTATTAATTAAAAAATTTTCCAAAAATATTCTTTGNTGGATGGCAGACTGTTGCGACACTTGGTGGGGCTGTATTGGACATTTGAAGTACAACACATTTCGAAAGGGGTGTTCCTATTATTTTGTCCTATACCTGTACATTTAAATGGCTGTCATTGTAATTTATTAATTAAAAAATTTTCCAAAAATATTCTTTGACGGGATTTAAAATATTTTGTCAGTTTGTATAATGTAGTAATTGAATTTCTATTTCTGTAAAATTTTTTTTTGTCTATGCTTGTATTTCTGTTTTAAAATTCTCTGAAACAAAAAATCAAAATTTCACCCTGTCCAAAAATATGGACATCCTAAGTACAGTAGAGCGTTGTTTATCCAAATCAATTGGGGACTGGGGTTGTTCGGATAACCAATTATGTACGAAAAAATATATTAACCTATCCCATGTTGAAATTTTTCTCCATTGCATATCGCTTCACGTTGAATTTTTGTTGATGTTAAGCCCAATGTAAATTTTTATAATAATAATCGTGGCTATTGTATCGTTAAAGATTATTTCTTTATTTTGTACAAACAAAATAAATATATTGAAAAATATAAAAACAAAAGAAATTATACTTTAGAAGTTAATCTAGTATCAAAAATGTTCGATTCAGCACAACACACGTCCAGACAGTCGTCAGAAAAACACCACACACAAGTGCCAGTGCTGCCAGCTAAAACACACACACCAACAAAAAAAATATTGGAGTAGCCCAAGACATAGCCAAAGGTTGCAGCACCACAGCACTAGCAGAAATTTAAATTTTCCGACTGGAATGCTTTCGGTTAACTGATGTTTCGGTTGACAAGCTTTTGGATAAATGACGCTCTACTGTATTTATTCTTTAATTAAAATTAACAACCTGGTAAAGCAAATGTAACAAAGCTAGTAAATTCTTTAATTAATTTCATAATTTTACAATTAGTAAAAATTATTTGTAATATTGATTGGTTGTGCAAGTTTCTTAAACAAATTTTTTTATCCTTGTCTTGGAATTTATTTTGCATAATATAAATTTTTTGAAAAACCAATTACCTTATGAAATTCTTCATTAAGCTCTTCTGTACATTTGTAAGATTAATAAATATCATTTTCACAGCCTAAATAAAATTTAAAATTTAACATTTAGTTTGTGTGTACACACACACACAAATTATTTCCATATTATGAACTTCTATATAGCAAATTTCTCTGTATTAATTGATTTTTGCATTATAATTTTGGCTGAAAGAGCAGTGTACATGTAAAATTGCTTCTAAATAACAGTTAAATTTCTATATAATGAATTTTTTTTTAATTTGTAAGAACTATCAATTATTAAAAATCAATTACAGCATCTGGGTCGAATTCAAATTTAGGTTCAATTTCAGGTATCAATCTGTAAACCCTTTGTAAAACAACCATCCAGATGTTGAGAAATACTGGTCATTAGCTTTTAAAACCACCAAGTAACCTACCCGAATGTGGCTACTAGTTAAAAAGAAGGAGCAGAAAGATTAAGTCCAAATGTCTTTGTTGACAGATGAATGATTTAGAATTAATGAATGTTAAAAAAATTAGAAAGCTAATAATTTTGACAACTGCTGAACTAATTTTTTAAATTATTGATATTTTATTTAATAAGTTCTCCAGTTGGAATTTGAAGAACTAATAATACAGTGTTTAAGCATTACTAAAAAAAAAATTTGTGTGTTGTGGGAAGTTGATAAAGGATCAAAAAAGAAAGCCATTAGAGCAAAGTTTGGAATTCCTGTAAGCAGTTTATCAACCAAAATAACAAATTACAAATCAATTTTGAAAATTAGCCAATGATGCAGCAAAATGTGCTTATGTCAATGTAGATGAAGTAGTTTTAATTAATGCTCTTAATAAGTGTGAAGCATATTACAAAGAGAGAACATTTTTAAATTGCTCTGGGCAACAAAAAAGTTAGACTTTTTTATGAAAATGTAATTAAACTGACTTGTAAGAATTTTAACACACAAATGTAATTTTAAGTATAAGTAATATACTTAATATAAATTAATTATATTAATTTCAATTATGTAAAACAAAAAAAATTATGTTAAAGTAATACTTTATTTACCAAAAAGTGTAATTTCTGTATAATGATATGTCCCTATACTGAATTTTTTCAGGATTTAGTAACTGTTATATAGAAGTTTGACTGTATATATGTTTATTTATTTAAACATTTACAGTCGACCCCCCTATAATTACGGTCCCTATAATTATGATTCCTATAAAACTACGAAAAAATTGTGACCGGTATCTGTAAAAAACAGTAAAAACCCCCTATAATTACCTCAAACGTCATCGGGCAGCCGAACTACTTTCCCGCCGTCCGTAGCGCCACGCTACGGAGAGATTTCTATCGTCTGGACAGTATTATATAAATTATATATAAATTAGGTACTGTACATATAATTATATATTAATTATATATAAATTAGGTACTGTATATATAATTATATATTAACTTATTGTAACTTTGTTATAATTAAATATATAATTTCCGCCGTCTAGCGTGGCGCCACGCTACGGAGATTTTTACGCTAACTATCGTCTGTCAGTATGTAAATTAGGTACCGTAAGTCTAATACAGTACTGTAATTTTATACATTTCTTGTGAAAGAAACATTTCTTATTCAACGGCGATTAAAATTATTTATATTAATGATGTGTCCAAAGTTCAACGAACTTTTCGCAGAAAAATAAGTTATTAGAAATCGGCCGCGGTTTGCTGAGCTGTTCCGCGACGAAAACAAGCTTGAGCAATGGCGATGTCGAATGGTGCACACTCGGTAAGTAATCCTACAATTTTTTGTTTATAGCGTAGTTTATACGGATTATTTCCAAAAAAAATATACGTATTTTGGAAATGTTGAGTCGGATTAGTCTAGAATCGATTAATTTTATGGAAGAAAACCTTTCAATCAGCCGTAGTCTGTAAACTTGACACATGTCGGGCTGTGATTGGAACGACTCGTAAGAAATCGGATTCCTAAAGAATGGAACGTATCTATATCTTATAGGGGGGGGGTCAACTGTATTTTTAGTAATAAATTATTTCAACTTCTTACATAACTACCTCTGACAACGTATCTACTATTATATTCTCATTGTTCTTAATTTCAATCTGAAAATTCATATGCACTAATTCTGCTGCTATGACTCTTCGAATTGCATTCAGCACGATTACTTTAAAATACATTTCATTCATTCTGAAAAAATGAAAATTTATTAGATCTACAAGAATGAGAGGCATTTGACGCAAATTTAATTAATACATTACGATTTGCCATCCTGAAGTATTTCCATTTCTAATGCGTCTCTTAATGCTAAAGGAATTTGTCGCTTTATGTTATCCTCCATTAATATATTTGCTAAATCCTAAACATTGAAATTCCAATCATATAAAATTTATTTAATAATTGTACAGTAAATACAAAAGCATTTTCTTCATACCTCATAATTGTTTATTAATGACTTTTGTAATCGTTCCTGTAGCGATGCAACTTCCAATGAAGACTGTCGTTTTGTCAAATGGGCAACAGCATTGAAGTAACCTTTCAACTTTGCTTCATCAATTTGGCAATATAAAGAATTTTTCATCTGTTTAAATAAAATAAATCCATTGTTTACATTTAGGCAACACTTAGAATAGATAGAATATCAAATTTCCAAACAAAATACTTCTTATTTTGTAAAAATTTTACAACATGAATATAAAGATCCCAAAATTTCAATTAAGGCATGAAAAATGTTTACTCTAGAAGTAATCGTTCTTTAGGTGCCATCTGTCCACACAAGAGTGCACAAATATAAATCATAGTCAAGCAGGAAAAATGCATTTTCATTAGAAACATTTACAATTGAAAGCAATTAGTTTTAATACATTGTCATTTTTTCATTTTGAATTTACAAATAAAATTGTCCAAACTTATGTTTCAAAAAAATAGTTATTTGTAGTAATAATATAATGGTACACTGCTATTTAACTTATTATGTGACATGTATAGCATTAAATAAAATTATGTAGAAATATTAAATTAGTTCTGATTACTTATCAGGTAAAAATATCAAAAAATCTAATATGATAAAATATTGATTTATTATTTTAATAAAATTGAAATAATAAATATTGTTAGCATAAACTATTTACTATACAAAGTTGCTCAGATTAGAAGAGTTATTATATAAAGAATACAACCATAAAACAATTACAGATAAGCCACATATATACAAGAAAGACTTTGGCCATACATGAAGTGTTTAGCTGGCAGAAAAGAGGGTAAGGGAAAGAAAGGGAAGGGGAAGAAGGAGGGAGAGGAGATAGACTGTGGTGAAAGGTAGGATTCCTCTGAATGCCATACATATGGCTACAGTAACCTCTATGTTTGACGTTAGCATGCAGTTTTTAGGCTGCAAAGCCATAGTCCCCCGAAGGTCTAAAAGAAAATCTGAGTGTAGTGAACACCAATAATTGAGTGCTGCCACAAATAGCTAAGTGTAGAAGTTAGTGTTAGTAGGAAGATTTATATCTACTTAATACTAATAAAACTGAATGCGATCGCAAATCTTAATAATACTTAACAGCTAGACACAGCATGAAAAGCAAACGAACACAATGACAAACTAGATGAGACGAACGAACTGACAGAGATAAACGAGCAAGACCCAAAATTATTTATTTATTTATTTATATGTTTTTACTTATTAATTTTTTTTTAAATGTTAACTTACTCATTAACTGAACTAACCTACCACAACTTAGGATGAACGTAACCAGAGGACTAAAGCTAACAAACCCTAATCTAATTTAACCTAACTGGAAACCAAGCTAAGAGTCCCTAAACCAACTTACAACTAGGACTAACTAAATTTAGACTGAAAAAGAAGACAGAAAATAAGAATTAAAATACAAAGTTGAAAGGCAGCTAATAACTGACAGTTGAAACAAAGCAAAGGAAAGCTAATTGCCATTCGTGCCCCTGGAGTGAGTGCTCTCAAGAGCCCCACTAAAGGATATGAATGTGAGTAGATGGAACATTGTATGCATGTGAATGAGTTGATGTGGGTTACCCAGTTGTATCCTTCGAGAATAGGCTCAATACACAGGCGAACTCCAGGTGTCAGCAGATTTCAGCAGGGTCCAACTTATAAAACAAATATACAACAAATGCAAACTAAGAATAGCAGAAATATTGGAAATATTTAAATCTACATTGCATTAACATCTAAGAATAAGTTGCTATACTATGCCTGGAAATCGCTATTTGATAACCCCCTTAGAAACAAAGGGTGGAAAAAATTGTAACAGTGCAAAACATGATATCATCATAGCACTTCAAATGATTGTTTTATTTAGTTTTATTCTTAATTGTACATTTTTTAGTACTGTATATTATTATTTTAAATTTATATTTTATTTTATTTGTAACTTAATCTATAACCCTATTTATATTTTTTTAAGAAAATGTAATATTGTTCTAAAATTAACGGAATTTTAAATATTTTCCAAATTGAATCTTGTTTCAGAAAACCTGATGAAGGCTTATTAATAAAGCCAAAAACATTAGTTTGACTAAAGAGTAATTTGCTGGAAAAGTATATAAGATATTTTGTGTGTGTCTAGTCATTTCTACTATCCCAAAAAAAGAACAACTCTAATTTTCCAATTTCTTTAGCTCCTACCATGTTGAAATTATTTGAAATCCTTTGATCCTCAGAATTTTAAGAATGCAGCCTTTCGATCATGGATAAAGCGGGCCTATACCCACTGTACGAGTATGGTTGACACACACAGAGAATTAAATAACATATGTACAATAGCTATGCAACAGGGATATCGTATAAATGAAATTAAATGCTCTTATTGATAAATTTTGTAATCAAACAAACAAGCAACCTACAACTAAGAACCAAGGACCAAGAGTAGTTCTCAACTATATACCTTTCCTACAATCAATGATTAAAAAAGTATCTCACAAGAATAATTTAAGAGTTATTTATCGTCATAATCCGACGATTTATAAAATTTTACGAAATGATAAGAAGAAAGGAAACCGTAACAACAGTACAGGAGTTTATTCTATTCCTTTAAGTGACCGCCGTTTTAATTCAGATCTCGTTTACGTTGGTGCCACTATGAGACTTTTAAAACAGAGGATTAAAGAACATAAGTATTCTATTACTAAAAACGTGGACAGCACCATCCTTGCAGCCTTTGCTAAACATCAAGATATTAATGTACAGTACATTGGGACAAAGCATCCATAATTAGGACAGCCACCAACAAACAAGTCCTTAAACATATTGAAAAACTTGAAATTTACAAGGCGCATATTAACAAAGGATGCATCAACCATAGAGACGCAGATAGTCTATCCTGCGCATGGAAATCTTTTTACCACGATGATTAATTTTTTTTTTTAAATTCTTTACCATGATTAATTTCTTAATGTTTTATTTATAATTTTTTACGTTTTTTAACGTTTTATTTGTGTTTTACGTAATTAATTTTAATTTTTAAACCGTCATATTGCTTGCATTCTATTTTACGTTCGTTTTCGTTTTAAAGAGGCTTAACTGAAGAAGACTATTAAATATAGTCGAAAATGTTTTTATTTTATTAAATACTTTGTTGCTGGAATTACTAAGGTGTTTTGATTATTTTTGAAATCACCTATATAAAATCATCTACCTCCCAATTACTTCCCATTTATGTCCTATCATTCTGGTATAAAACAAAGATCACTCTACTACAAGCAATCTCCTTGAAGTTTAGCATATCATTGTAGAAAATTTCAAGTTAAAACATCCTACCTACATGGCATACATAAATATTGCAAAAGCTTTTGATTCTGTTGTTTTAAATATTCTGTTAGACAAATTATCTTCCAAACTTAAAATCTATGATGACATTCTTTTGACTTGGCTTAACAATTTTTTCCTATTATGTACTTGTCAGATTAAGATTTCTAATTTTTACTTTTTGTGTTTTTTACCACTGATAAGAATACCTCAGGATTCAATCCTTAGTAATCTACTGTTCATAGCCTATATAAATACAACACTTTCTGGTATTTCTTCTTCATAAATGCATATGCAGATGATATTAAAACTTACCAATAGTTATCATCATTCATTACAATGCAATATTCATAAACTTAATACCTTACTTAAACTTACAAATAAATTCTAGCAAGACTTAAAATAATAATCTATAGCCTGGTAAGAAAAATCAACTTGCAATACCTTTTTTTTTAATCAATAATCAAAGATTAGAAATAGCTGACAATTCAGGATTTAGGTATATTTGATTCAAAACTCTCAAACAGCATATAGAAAATTTAATTAAACACATCTCATTTCATAGGGAAATGCTTTACTAGAAATTATTTTAAAGTTTTTCTAAAAACACTCAGAGTATTGTTTTTCACCAACATACAGTCTATTATAGACTGTATGTTGATAATAGACTATGCTCTTCCAATTTGGGCTTCTGCTCCTCCATCTATCCTAAACAAATTTTATTCAAAATTGACTAAAATTTACATTTTACTTAAAAAAGCTTCCTAACCTTCCATTTACAGACTGTCCATAAGTTGCACATGTTCACCTACGTTGAACATAATTTCTATAAATGCATTGAATATTTCAATTGGATATATGCTTTTAAATATTTTAAGTCTACTCCCATTCATTATATTTACCTTCACATCCCTTCTGTCAATACTAAAAATACTACATATTTATACTCTCCATATTGTCATCTTAATATTATCATAAAATCTGTTTTTTACCACTACCAGAAAGCTGCCGTATAAATCAAAGATAAACCTTACATTGAATTCACTATAAATTAAGGCTGTTTGCAAAAAGATACATTATTATATTTAATTGTTTTATTTAATTTTATGTTTTATTCCTTTTATTTTTGTTTTATTCATTTTGCTGGGTCTTTTGCTTCATTGTTTTATAAGGTCCATTGTCTGAACATCACCACCAGTAATAATGTAAAAGAATAAAATAAAAGAAGGTTAAGTGGAAATGCACTGGACACATGGCAAGATGTGGTGGTGAGAGATGGACAAGAAGGATGATGGAGTGGAGGCTAAAATTGCAGGTATGCAATGGATGAGAGCAGAGGAGAGAGTGACGTGAAGGACTAACACAAGGTCATCGTCCAGCAGTGGACAAAGTATGGCTGAGAAAGAAGGTCCCAAACCATTAATTGTCTTATGTCTCTCTAAACCATTATGTACAGGTATACCTCGAGTTACGTCGTTCCCGATTATATGTCGTTTGTCAAAAAAGTATATGGAAAAATAAAAATCAAGTTTAAGTCATTTTATTCGACTTTACGTCTGTCCGCCACAAATATTTGAAGTCGTAATATCACTAGAAAAATGTTTAAAGCACATAAAATCATATTAAAATATATACATTTACAAGTATATACTGTATTTACAGTACATGCATTCGTAAATTTAAATTACTTTTTTCTGTACTATATTAAGAACCAAAATTTATTTGTTTGTAAGGTTAAAATAGATCCTTATTAACCACATATTATTAAAAATGCATTAATAAATAAAATACAGAACGGGAATTAGTAATTTATGGTTTAGCCTAGTGGCAAGTAGATTCGGAGACAAGTAAATTCGACTTACGTCGCTTTTCAACTTAAGTCGTTCTCCTGGAACCAATTACTGACGTAAGGCGAGGTATACCTGTACTGTAGAAATTTAAGTTAAGCATATATTAAGTATGAACTGGTGTTTACTTTTGATTCAGCTGACAATTATTGCTTTTACAAGCTTTATTTGTTTTTAGTTCTTAGCTAAGTTAAAAATTACACAGAATAGAGGAATTGCCAATGACTACAACATAGACAGTCCAAGAGAACATGCACTATAAGCAATGACCATCTGCGGCAATTCAGTGAAACAGTCTTGCAGCAGCAAGAATTTTAAGTAGCTTCTCATAATTCTGTTTGGATTAAGAGAACTGCTAGACCATCAGGTGCCATAAAAAATGATGAGCCTACATTTTCAAGTTACTTTTCTTATTCTATCATTACATAAATTAAAAAGATTTCTTTTAATTCCTTTTCACATCCAACTTTTTATCCCTATAATTTAACTATTTGAAAACCTATTTCCTACATAATCACTTTAATTTATTTTTCACCCAATTCATATTGTAAATATCCAAAAATATTAACCATTAAAAAGCTTAAATTTGTAAGGAATCACATACAAAAGGAAACATTAAATATTTTTCATTGTTTTTCACTTTATGCTTTTCACTTTTTCACTTTTACTTGTTTTTCACTTTATGCCATTAGGCATAAAGTGAAAAACAAGTATCCCTTGCTTAACACAAAATTTCATTAACGCACAAAATTAATTGTGGCAATCCCTTTTTATTTTAATTGCAAAAAGTTTTAATTAACACAACTTTACCAGCGATCTTTACTTAACATAGATATGTTTTTCTCAGAAAATAAGGTGTTAGTGAAGTTACTATTTTTGTTTATTAAAATAAAAATATTTGTTGTTAGTTTGTTCCAAAACTTTGTTCTAGCAGATTGGGATTGTTCAGTCAAGTACTAAGGTCCAACTGTACCTGATGAATGCAATTTTGATATATGTGGTAGCATTCAGGGATTAATTAACAGTGTTAATCAAGGGATACAGTTATAAGTTTATTCTCAAGTAACCAAATTAAGTCTGTAAAACAAAACTAATTTTTTATTTTTAGAAAATTAACACATTAATAGTTAATATATTCCAGTGATTTAATTATTGCATAAAAGAATGAAATAACTAATTAAGTTGGAAATATGATTTAGATTTTAAAAATTAACTTTTTAAAAGTAAGAAAACAATGATAACCTTGGGATACAGAGATGATGAATTTGTAAAATATTCTCCTGCCTTCTTATATTCTTCTCGATGGAAATAATAACATCCCAAATCGTAAGATAACTGAAAATACATAATTTAAAAAATCATTTATTATATTATTGTTTTTAAAAAATTTTACAAATAAATATAGGTTAATTTAAGTGCTTGCATCAACATAATTCAGTGAACAGATTTTGCAACTTAACCAGTTTTACAAGACTAAGATCCAACTTTAAAACATTTCAAATGTCTTACCATATTTTTGCAGATTGTCTGGCATGTTGGTCTATCTAGGAGACCAGGAAATCAGATATTTCCATACAGTAATAACCGGCATGCTGGTTTAAGAGAGGTTATACGTTCCTCTTTAGAGGGCACATGAAAAAAATGAACAAGTTATGGCACATAAAAACGAATGAGTTTTTTATTCTAAAACTGTGAAACTGTCATCATTACATAAAAACAACTACAATTATATATTTAATTTCTTCATTTTGTCTTCTTTCTAACAACATAAAATACTCATGGAATTCTGAAAGTGCTTTTTTATGTATATTTTATTGTAATTTGATTCAAAAACACAAAAATAAACATTAAATTTAAGAAACTGGCTGTAAATTATCTCAACTTACAGTAATTACTAGTTATGTAACACTTTATCAGCGTGTAGTTGGAGCGAGGCTGCTCGCATCTTCATTTTCTAGATTATGAGAGTAAAAGGAGAAAGAATCATTCGTTCTCAACAATATATTTGATTTCTGTTGTATCATTTAAAGGTACAAATATAAGGTCAGAATAAGCCATTAATTAATTGCTATGCCAATGTATCATAAAATTCTGTTTATCACTATGGGCTTTGGACTTACAGATTGACTCGTAGCAATGTTTACTGTAACTGTTTAAAAATACTATGTCAATTATTTTTTTTCACTCAACTGAATGCAACAATAAGTAAAACCAATAGCTATCTCTTTTTTACCTATATCTATTTTGATTTTTGGAAGAGTTAATCCCTGTGATTTATGTATAGTCATCGAGTAATGTAATGGGAAATTGTCTACAAGATCACAATATATTGCCATCATTTGAAGAGCATGTTATGGGGATTATTGGAAACAGATTACCATAGATGAAAGGTCCCTGATAACTATCGAATTCCACTAAAATAAACAGAGGAAGAGCTGGAGGGACTAGCATTAGGAGCATATATAATGTAGCATATAGTTCCTAGTGAACCATTGATGAGACCTTCTTGCACCCATAAGTTGACTCTCAGCATGATTCTGACATTAACAGAGAGATTCAAATACTTGGAGAGACAGTCATCTTTGGACGAATGCAGGGCAATATCTGAAGTGTTTTCAGATGATATATAAGCAACAGGACACCCAGTTGAGTGAAATAGTCTGCTGCTTCGTTTAACTTGCTTATTTGTTGGATATAGCTCTACTGCCGTTTGATTTCAAGTTCAAGTTCATCTCTGGATAAATAGGTTTGATTTCTTGTCGTCAGAATGTTCAGATCTGTATCAGAGAAATCACCCAAAGCTAGATGTTGTAAGACATCTGTGAAGGAACTATCTGCACTGTTTTGTCTAAAATAGTCAATCACCTTAGTATTTCCAGCAACAAAGTATTTAATAAAAATATAATAACGTTTTCAACTATTTTTAATCTATTTTGTCTATGAGAATTACTAAGTTAAATGAACTTCTCAAAAGAATCAAATGCAAATCTATCTTGTTGGGACATTACATCATAAAAAACACTCGAGTAGAGAGGAGTTAGCATACAGCAACCACTAGATGACGCTTTTACACGTGCGTGCAAGAACTAGCTGCCAAGCAAGTTTAATAATTTCTGATTTTGTATAAATGTAATGTTTTAAAAATAAAACTTTTTTTAACTTATTATTCTATAAAGATTCTTTATATTTGTTATGTATCTAGTTAGTGATAACATTTATCTTTCAAAATTACCGTTTTAACGCTTGTCATATTTTCTGACCACTAGATGACGCTTTTACACTTGCATGCAGGAAGCAACTAACACTTGACTTCACGCATTCCTTGTCAACATTATAACTCTAGAATGAGTTGTCCGATCTTGATGAAATTTTCTAGGACAACTCATCATCACTCAAGGATGAACTGATTAAAATTTCAACTCTCAAAAATGATCCATACTGAAGAAAAATGCAACCTTTGTTTTGCAACCTTTGTTTTGACCCCTATCTCCAGTTCTACAAAAATTGATCATTTTTGAGAGTTTAAATTTTAATCAGTTCATCCTTGAGTGATGATGAGTCGTCCTAAAAAATTTCATCAAGATCGGACATCTCATTCTAGAGTTATAATGTTGACAAGGAATGCATGAAGTCAAGTATTAGTCATCACTCGGCTTTGCCTCGCTCTGACAAATCTTTGTGTAAAATTTGAGAGGAAGGAATTATTTTTAAGGCTGGAGTAGATGGTCAGTAAAGCCCACACTGACTGACTACTACTACTGTCAATAAGTTTCTGTTTTGTTGTCTTAAAAACAGGAAGAGGATTTTTGTTTACAAGTCAGTCAAATTACAATGTTATTATTTTACTGTACTAGAAGATTGTTTTTTATAATACTTAATTAACAACTAATTTTGTGAGATCTGATTAATTTTATATTTTAGTCACAGTTTAACTGGCATGCCAGTCTCCTGTTTATATGTGGTATGCCAGTCATTCTGCAAAAATATAGTAGTAGTAACAGTTAAAACTACCTAATAAATATACAAATCAGTGTAGCCATTTGTAATAAGTATGAGATCTGCAAATGTCTAGATTTTATAATGTAAACAAATGTTTTATGAAAATTACATTCATTAAAGAGAAACCAAAAAATCATGAAGTTGGCTCAAAATGCATATGAATTGTTTGGAATATATTCAGTAAAGGTTGAGTGATTAGGAGTCTGGAAAAATAACTGTAAAATCAGTTCACTGAATTTCATTTATGCGAGCACCTAAATAATAATACTGGTAATCCCAAAGAAACAAATATAGGTTATGCAATTAAGAAATAAATCTTGTTATTTTTAATTCATTTAGAAGTAAAATTGACATACCTGACACTGTATTTCATCTTTATTTAACAATATTCCATTTTTCCAATTATGATTTGGATTCGGAGCTTCCTCACTAACGGTTCCTAAACAATTCATCAAAGGCATGCGAATATGTTCCTCCTTTTTTAGTACTTCCTCCAAAAGTTTACAAGATTGATCACATTGCTCACTTAACTAAAGAAAAACATTTAATCGATATTAATATACAATTAACATTACAGTTATCAAAGAAACTTAGATATCATATTTCTTTGACTGAGATATTCCATAAATTATAAACCACAGCATGCTTTCAAAATCAAACATTAGGATTTTCTTTTATAGAGGGAATTATAGAATGTTTGGTTTCATTACATCTTTGTTCAGTTCAATTATCAACAGTATACTAGATGTATGTAGTAAATACATACATCTAGTATACTGTATAGTATACACTAAAACACCAAAACCCATAAAAGAATAATAATTTTAATGTAAAAATATAAAAACAAACGTTTTCCATTGTATTAAATGATCATCTTCAGGTTTCTTAAATGGAACAAAAAACAGAATACATATTTATATACAGATATCATATTTAGATTGCAAGAAGCAACTTGAGACCAGTACTCGTTCCAGCAAAAAAATTTTACTGGAACATCATTTTTGACCTGAGGCAGGGCCTGCCTCAAGTTTACAAACTACTCAAAAATTGAATGTTCTACAGGTTATGCGAAACTGAAACATTCAATCATCATGACATTTAAAATTTTTACATAATATTCTAAAATGTTCAAATGTAATGTGATGACAAAATATTCTATAAACACAATATTATATATAGAATTAATACCAAAACAAACAACAGAAATAAAAAAAATAAAATTAACATGAAACACAATAAAAATTACACTGTCTAAAATAGTCAATCACCTTAGTATTTCCAGCAACAAAGTATTTAATAAAAATATAATAACGTTTTCAACTATTTTTAATCTATTTTGTCTATGAGAATTACTAAGTTAAATGAACTTCTCAAAAGAATCAAATGCAAATCTATCTTGTTGGGACANCAATATTATATATAGAATTAATACCAAAACAAACAACAGAAATAAAAAAAATAAAATTAACATGAAACACAATAAAAATTACACACAATAAACTTTCCTAACTAATTGAAGTTTTTAGACTATTTACAAAAAATTTAAAATTTTTCGAGTCTATCTTTTTAAATCATTTATACACCACCACAGAAGTAACAGTTTTTTAAAAATTTGCTTTGAAGAAAAACTTCTAATGAAGAAAACACTTCTAAAACAAGGTAAAAATGGGTAGAAAAGTTCACAAAGTTGAAAAAGATCAAGTGCCAGCTTTTTCCTGTAGGTTCTGACACTTTTTACATTAAAACCATAATGAATTCTTCATACCATATTATTTTATCCACTTTTAAACTGCTTCCGGCCCTCTAAAATAATATGGTATGAAGAATTCATTATGGTTTTAATGTAAAAAGTGTCAGAACCTACAGGAAAAGGCTGGCACTTGATCTTTTTTAACTTTGTGAACTTTTCTACCCATTTTTACCTTGTTTTAGAAGTGTTTTCTTCATTAGAAGTTTTTCTTCAAAGCAAATTTTTAAAAAACTGTTACTTCTGTGGTGGTGTATAAAGGATTTAAAAAGATAGACTCAAAAAATTTTAAATTTTTTGTAAATAGTCTAAAAACTTCAATTAAGAAGAAAAATATATCCTGAGTTATCACAAAAATTGTAATTTCCTAACTAAATTGAATTTGCATGTTAGTTAGCTGCTTGCGTGATTTGGGGGTAACATTATAGTGGGTTGACGAGTAGAGACTGTCAAGCTAGCAATAGTTTTACTATCTTTATATTTATTGCAATCATCCCTAACTTTTGCATTATAGATCTTCACCACTTCCAATGTTCTTAGCTTTTGCTCGCTGAACATCTTCCTTATTATTCTTGCCTCATCCTAACATGGCTCTCTAGCAACTGGGCTAGTGAACTACTATACTTATTTTTACTGATGTCATACTGGTGTTCTTTTATTCTTCATGTTAACAACCTCGTAGTCAATTCAGTAGACAACTAATCTATATTGGATCTACTATAAAATAATGGTATAGTATATATACCCCTGTGCTTTATTGTCATTTACCTCATCTTTTCCATCCATTAATACAGTCTATGGTTGAATTGCATTTATATATATGAAAACAGTGTTTAAGTATTTAGCAATTTTTGTGTGTCTCATTTAGCCTTGTGTTATATTTGAGGCTTATGCATTTTTAATTTCTTGATCCTGGTCTTACTTTTTCATTCTTATGTGAATATTTAATGTTATTTTTTACTTTATATGCTAAACTGTTGATGAATTTTGAGCTATAGCCATGTCTTATTGCAATGTTCTTTAAAAACACATTAGATAAATTAGAGTATATAAAGTCAGAACAATGTGTCTAGCTCTCCTAACTAATGTTCTAAAGCCACTGTTTCATATGATTGAGGACCAAAGGCAGAAATTACAAAGACTGCACGATGAGAGGATTCAAAAGGTACTGAGTTGCTTATTGTTCTAGCTTCTGAAGAGTATATTTAGATTACAATAAATCAAAAAAATATCATGCACATGGAGCCTTGCACATATGTGATGCAAAAGATGAGACAAGATGTAAAAGAAATCAAAACACAAATTATATATAAAAGAATTGTGAAGTTCATAGACTGCCTTCCACAGATGAGACAGAGTCCATCTCTTTATAATCAATGGCAGATCCTCTTCTAGGGTTTTATATATCTCAATACGGTCCAAAAATTTGAGATGGGTCAGGTCAGAGAAGTGTGTGAAAGGCATATCTGATTGAAAGTAATATAAATGTCATTGTTATATGCAAAAATAGCCATAGCCATGATAAAAAGATCCTTCTTGATGATGTATTCATGTTCCTTAGTCATTATGTTTAAGCATCTAGCTGTTGCTCCTACATACTCCTGAAGACAGTTGGTCAATCCTGTTGTCCTGAATGAGGACAGTATATGTCAGTAAAGTTCAGATCATGCCTTCTAATTTCCGGTCCGTCAAAAAGAACACCTTACAACTTCTTGAACACAAATTAAATCTATTCATTTAACCCTATTTACAGAGATACACAGCAATACATCTTGATTACTTCTAACTACAAGGTCTTAGTCCAGTCTCCCCTTTCCTCAATCCAACATTGCCTTATATCTAAGTTTTGAATCCATTGGCTAACCAATCTAGACCTGAGCTTTCTATCAGGTCTGCCTCAGTTGGCATACCTATCTTGACTTGTCCAGAATGACACCAACATCCAGGACAGTATGTTTTCGGATTCATTGTCAGAGCATGTTTTCTGGAATCCAGAAAACATGCTCTGACAAGTGAAAATTTGACTTGGCTTGTCACCACTCAAAACCTCCTTGACAATGCCCATCAGGAACTGCCTCTCAAATTGGCATTCGTGATCATCTAAAACATGATTACGCTTCTCCTGTAAGCGATATTGAAATTAACAGTGCAGGCAACCTCCTTGTAGATATTGGAGAGGTTCTTATCATAGGTGATCATTTTATAAAACTTAATGTGTGTGATAATCAGATCCACATGCTGCTGTTGGTGGAGTGTAGGGCATCTAATGAAGTACAGAAAAAAGCTATGCTGAGTGGCTAAACAGGACATGTAGTATCCATCTTTGCTTTTGTCCCATGTATTAGAGCAATGGGTAAAAGCTTCTAAAAGTGGCTATCTTATAGGTCTATGAATCATGGGACTGAGCAGAGATGAAAAATGTATATTAATACATTTGTTTTTATATTAAAATTCTTCTTCATTGCTGGTTTTTGGTGTTCTAGTGTGTTTCTCTTTGTTAAGTAAAGGCAAGTTAGAAAAACACTGCAAATTAGGTAAAGTTTAGCTATTACATTCCTGTGTTTTTATCCACATTCAACAATCATACATTTTAATGCCACACCACATTGTCTCAAAGGTGTTTTCAAAATTAGAAATTTAAATGCTCATTACCGACAAAGCTCATTTGAATCAACATGAGCATTTAGTAGTAGTGCCAAGAATATCTTTTATCAGTGCATAACATACATGGTCTACTTGCAACAACTGCCAAAAAAAAATTGTAATTTTGGATTGCAAATATAAAATGCCATCCATTGCATGCACGGTTTTTGGACAAGTAAAATTACACAAAACAAGAAGTGTATATTAAAATCAAAGAAATACGATATATTCACTTTATGTAATACAAAACTTTTAAATTTACCTTTCTGATAATTGATTCTGTTACATCTTGTGGTACAAATGTTGGATCTACTTGGCCAGGTCTATTTTTCCAAAAAATATTTTCATCAAAAAAGTTTTAAATAAGAAACTAATATTCTTAAACTTATTGCCATTAACAATTTGTAAAAGTTCACTAAACTTAGCCCCATCATTACAAAAATAAAATCAAATTTCATTCCGGGAAAAAATTTTTGTTTAATAAAAAAAATTTGTCAGTTAAAATCTGATCATATCAGCTTAAAACATCCATTTAATGGTTTAGAATGTTTTAGAACAGAACAAAATTCATACATTAGAAAAAAAATTAAATTCAATATTTAAGACAATTTCAATAGAATAAAATTTTTGAAAATTAATAATGAATACCTAACTGACATTAAAAACACTATTAAAAAATTACTAGTACTTTCAAAGACATGTTAGTAAATACATGTTTTTAACATCAGTCAGGTGTGATTTCTCTCCCATATAACATTCTCGGCCTGAAGTAAAAATTGTTTTTGTTAATAATGAACACAGTAAAATGTGTTAAATTTGAAAACAAAATGAAATAAAACAAAACTTTTTGTATAAAATCCAAAGGTAAACCAATATTTTTAAGATGTATATAAAATAATATTATTTGAAGATAAATACAAAATTATATTGCTCTAGCAAAGAAAAAGAAGAGAAAAGATAGTTTTTACAAATGTTACATATTTATACCAGTGTAATGAATCATTCTTCAGTACTATAGTACTATACTTACATTAAAGTAATTTTTCTTAACAATTTAAATTTTTTATATTTTAGCTGATGTGTAATTGATTTCTCTTTTTGACATCTAAACAAACATTTGGATATAATTTTAACATTGACTATTACATCAAAATTTATTTTATTTTATTTAGTTTGTAATTGAAGATTGCTTGTGTTATTTATATATATATATATATATGCAATTTTCAATTACACTTTTTGAATTCTTCTTCAGATAATATTCAGGTTGCCAACTACAAACTGATCTACTTATCATATGCAGATGANTTACTTTTTAGTTTAATTAACTAGCTACCTAGTATTAATAAATATAAAAAATTAAATGACAAAAGTTTATTAATATAACTTAAGCATATTTAAACACAAATTCTTGAATGCCATTTATATTACATGAATGTCCATTAATGTGATTTTTATTAAATTAATTAATTTGATTTAAATTCAACTGTGGCGTGTACTAAAAAACAGAAATAGTACCATTCCCATATGCACACTGAAATGCAATTTAAATAGCGATGTCATCAATGATTCGTTATATGATGGCAGGTGATCTCAGCACCACTAACTTCTGAATTGATAGTCCTTATTGTCAGTAGACTTATTGGTGGTGGTGGTAAATCAGTGTGGGCTACCCCAACCTTAAAAATAACTCTTTCCTTTCAAATTTCATACAAAGCTGATGTTAATCCATGTGTGAGATCAGGGTTGATTCCAGTCTCCCCGTTCACTAACAGGTTGGTAAATTTAGAATAATTCAGGAAAAATTGTTGCAATCTCTCCTCATCGAGTCCTGCCACCAGTTGGAAAAAGATGACTAAACATGTCCCAACTCATAATACTATCTGAATTTCTTTCCAAGCGATCAAAAATAGTAAATTTTAGTATGACTGGAACATTAGGAGGGATATGCTTGCGTGTTTCGTAGAATTGATGACAGAGTTAGGCAATATAAAATCCATGATTCAACCAAAGACCAAAATACAAAAACAGAATATATTCAAATCAAATAAAAATAAGAGGATATAATTTTGTAATTAAAATACAAGAATAACAGAATTCTGTTATGAATGGTTTCACCTCTAAACTTCCTATTTACAAAAATATATATATGTATGTACTAAATTGAGAGAGAAAGAGTACATAAATATGTTTTATATTACCTTATAGGCAAAACTTGGCACAAAATTATAATGAGAACTGACACAGAGAACAGAGCACTGATTTAGAGAACTCTGACTGAGAACTGAGCTGACTTGATCCTGAAAGATTCAAGACTGACCCAAAAAGCTCTAATTCCAAGGGACTTCCCCTTTTATTTTGAAAATCTTCTTGAATGAGATATTCCAGAATCTCTCCACATGATAAAAGCTGGGCGAGTCTCATCGCATGTGTCGGCAAATTTGAAGTTAACTATCACTTTGAGAGAAACGGTTTTATTTCTCCAAAACAACAAGGAAGTTTCCTTTTTCCTTGTTAGTGAAATTTCAAAAGCAAATAGATTTTAATGATCATTTTAACATAATTATAAGCCTAACACCTTTTAAAAATTAAAACAAATGAGAAATAAATCTTTTTTAAAATGTTGGGATCATGTCAACAATTTTCTCACATTTAATCTGAGATAATTTACAACAAGTTTCTTAAATTTAGTATATTTATCCTTGTGTTTTTGAACCAAATAACAATAACATACATACACACACACAAAAAAAGCACTTTCAGAATTCCACAAGTATTTTACTTTGTTAAAAAGAAGACAAAATGAAGAAATTAAACATATAATCATATTTTTTGATGTAATACTGATAGTTTCACAGTTTTAGAATAAAAACTCATTTGTTTTTTAATGCATCATGTTCAGAGGAGGTATAACCTCACTTCAGCCAGCATGCCGGTTTTTACCATACAAAAATATCTGATTTTATGGTCTCCTCGAATAGACAGACATACTAGACAATCCACAAAAATACGGTAAAAGAATTTTTTTGTAAGTGATTCGAGTTATTATAAATACTTAGTAGAGATCAGATTAAATTAGTCTTAAATTCCCTAATTATCAAAAAGTTTGTAAACTTTGGTTTTGACTTGTTGAATTACTAAAATATATTTATATATTTTTATTAACATTAAACTACAATAGTTGTGTGTTGTTTCCATATTTTCTTTTTGTAAGTTTTTGTATGCTAATTAGATGTTTAATAAAAGTATGTTTTAAGTTATTTTTTTTGACAAATTGTCATTTGTTCTTTTGGGTTTTGTGTTTTTGGACAAGAGAGCTCAGTTCAATATTTTTTTCCTCCTGCCCCTGAGTCCAAACTCCAAACCTGGCAACTGATCAAAATTATTTTTCTTACAAACCACTGCACATTAGGTTAATCTGGGCAATTTGTTTGGTTAAGAATTCAGTGCATTATGTAACTGGTGCCCAAAAAAAAAGGGACTCAAACTCTGAACCATTAGGTCCACACAAGATCACAAACATACTGCAACACTACTTTTATTTGAGGCTAAGTGTCGCAGAAAAAAAAAATTATTAAAAACCCCACCAGGAGGTCTCATCTTTCTTTCAAATGTATTTATTACTTCAATTAACTTCTGATATACTCCATTTAGAATCTATTTACATATCAGCATATCTTTGATTTACATATCTGTAAATCAAAGTACTTATTCTTACTTTAAAGTTAAAGCTACAATTTTTAGCTTTAAAAAATGAGCACAATTTTATTAGTTAAATCTAGCAATATTTTGGTGAAATAAGTAAATGAAAATGTTACCAATTAACTTCTTATGCAATGGAGAAAAATTCTAATTGATTTAAAAAAACAAAATTCCTTCTCTATCCATTCAATATGCATTGGAAAATGGCAGATTTTACAGCTAGAGTAAAACTCTAAATTTTCTCCTCATTTTATCTAAAACAGGGTGGATAAAGCCAAAATTATAAGGTTTGTTCTTTATCCATCAGATTTTAATACAATCTATTTTATCCATTTGTGACTTTTATGTGTTTAGTGTATTTTATTTGAAGATGTTCAAAACAGATTATATGTTTTAACCACCATAAGACTGTAAAGTTAGGATTAGCCAATTAAATTTTAGCTGTATCCAATTCACAAACTTTAGCCATAACATATGTTATGACTGAAGTTTGTGTACAATATATGTATACAGGAAATCCTCTTAATTTGAAACCATACTGTTTGTCCATGCCAAAAATATGGAAATTTACACATTGTTATTCAGTTAGTTTGAAATGTGGCTACTTCAAAATTCAAAGCAAAAATTCTGTCCAAACTGTGTATGTTAACTCGTTCATTTAAATAGAAATGCTTCCATGCTGTAAGAGAACAATAGACCACGAATGACTAATCTGGTCAGTATGACTTTGCTTTTACAGTAACACATTTTCAAGTGTCACCTTACCCAGGAGTGCACAACCTGCGGCCTGCAGGCCACATACGGCCCCCTATCAATGTTTATGCGGCCCGCGGACGGTACAGGTCAAATCCCTTCTTTTGAAGTTTCTAAGTGTAGAACTTTTTCCCTTTCACAAAGTCATTAGCACCCAACTGTTTTATGACTCCCTGAGGTGAGAAATGGGAGGTTGTTCTATAAATAAGTCTATTTCTAGCTAACACTTTAGATATTGAATATTTTAAAATGATGTTAGAACGTCATTTCCGATGTTATCGGGAAGTTTCTATTTTGGCGGNGCTTATGAATTTAAACAAGTGCAAAACACGGAACAGGTTAACCAGCGAGAATTTGGAAAATCTGCTGGTTGTTTCAACATCTGCCATTACGCTAGACCTCAAGAAGATTGCCGCCAGCATCCAATCTCATCCATCGCATTAATCACTTGGAGGTCCGGCCCCCAGTCAGTAAACTTAATCTTAATTTGGCCCTTCTTCAGAAAAGGTTGTGCATCCCTGCCTTACCCATCAATTATATTTTTTTCTCTTTTCATAAAATAAAGCTCAGTTTTAGGGTTGCAAGATTAGGCTACAAGTAGCAGATAGATATTTGTAGAGCACTATGCTACTACATTTGGGTGACTTTTTACTACTTTTTGGGCTACTTTAAAAATAATTTGGACTACGTTTCCAGAAATTCTACTTCACTTTTTATAAAACCTATCTGGCAACCTGTGAGGTTCTCACTAGATATGCTGTTTAAGCAGTTTATTTACATTATTATTGCAGTAATTATTATTAATTAATGAAAGTAGTTTTCCCATATATATAGTCATATTCCATTTGCTTAATAAATTACATCAGTTACATGGCATTTGGCATAGTGTACAAAAATATGCGAAACTCATAATTTGAAGTTGTAATTACTTTGTCCCTTGAATTTCAAACTAACAACAATTTCTTGTGTGTGTGTGTGTGTGTGTGTGTGTGTGTGTGTGTGTGTGTGTGTGTGTGTGTGTGTGTGTGTGTGCATTGTATGTTTTCAATTTCAATTTTACTGTTTAATTTTATTACTATTATTACATCAGGTTGTCTAATTACCTGTTCAATATGGTCATAAAGAATCTAAAATTATTTTTTTATCTATTACAGTAGAGCCTCGAAAACTCAGCCTAATGTGGACCGAAGAGTGGCCAAGTTTGTGAAAATGCCGGGTTATCGGGAATGGGGTTAAAAAAACTAAGTATGAGTGTTTCCTCAGAAAATACTGTACTGTATTTGTATGTATTGTTTACTTGAGAATACAACAGAGAATAAACTGCCCAAATACCCTTAAACAAAGGAAAAGTACGATCTTTATGAAGGCATAGAGCCTTTACTATATGAAAATGAAAATTAATGAATACACTATGTACAGTAATTTACCTGATAAGACAGACCCCAGAAAAATACTTTATGAGGCATAAAGCTGTCTATAATGAAAATTAATTAACTAAGGATTTTTTTGACCTGCCAGGGTGTGGCTGAGTTATCCGGAGTGCCGAGTTTTTGAGGCTCTACTGTATTACTAAATGCACTGTTTTGATAAATTTTTCACAATTTTTTAATCATTTTCTAATAAACACTTAAAACATCAACATTAATATAACACAGCTAAAGACCAGACTTATAATTAATTAGCAAATATTTTTATAGATAATTAACTATTTATTCTCAAAACATTTAAAATAATTTTTAAACTTCCTAATAAGATTAAACTTTTTATTACTGAATTAAAAACATTGTGAGACTAATACTAAAAATTTTATTTTCTAAATTCAGAAAAAGATTAAATTTAAAGTATTTTGGTATAAATTATAATTATTAAATTATTTAAAAATAAATATAATACTTGCATTTGAACAGTTAAGCCTTTCTGACCTCTGACTGGGTATGAACTCTTAATTACTGCACGTAGATTCCTAGAACCAAATAAATCAATAAATTCATTTAGTTAAATATAGAAATTATAGTTTAAATCTATAAAAAACAGAATATATATATTTAACATAAATCTTTAAAAATGCTTTTAATTTTCTGCATTAAAAAGTCACAAAAATTTCTAGAATGCATGGTATCTGCACCTGATTTCAGATTGACTTTAAAAACATGCTTAATTTAATTAACCCTTGATATGCCAGAAATTACAGCAATAATGGCTACAATCCAACACATGGCCTTGTGACATACTGTGGACAAAACAGCCGTACCAATAAAAGTTAAACTGACACATCATTACATCTTTCATTTGTAAAGCCTTATTTATTAAATATTTTTGGAAATATTTATCTGACTTCAGAATATTATATTGTAGAAAATAAGAAAGAAATATAGTAAATTAAAGTAGAAATTGATTGCTAGATTTAGATTGTCTCAACATTAGTTATTTTGACATATCATTGTCATAATTACCATGAATTACTTGATGTTAACAGCAATAAAATGCATTATACAAAATGATCCTAAGTAACATATTTACAGAGAGATTTAGGCATCACTAACATATAGTGCAAACACTCACCACTATGCATATATAGAAAAAAGACATGCTATTCTAATGAAAAGGTCTGTTTATTGTAACATCACATTTCTCAAATATTTTCAACTCATCTGCATGTATAACATTTAAACGCAATCAAATGTAAAGGAAGGTCATTTAAATTCAGATGAATTTAAACATTGTATCTGAAGGCGAGTCAAGTCGGGAAGACTTGATAAACATTTTATACCTACAATAAACAGACCCTTTTATTGGAATAGCATTTATTTTTCAGTGTGTATAATGTGTGGTCTGAACAGACTGTTGATGTTTGTTGTCACATTGCTAGCAATACCAAAATGCTATTTGTACAAGACACTCATGCTGTACCTTAGCAACGCAAATTCTAACAAGGTTTCTAAAACCTTGATAGAATTTCTTTTTCTAATCAGTGAATGACTAGTTCACCAATTGGAAAAAGGTTTTTACATCTTATAGTGGTTTATGCTAGATATGTCAACAATATTTTTGTTTTGTGGAGCAAAAAACCAGACCTCAATGACAATTCATATGATCCCCTTCTAAAATTAGAACAAGAGAGTGACATTTCAGTACTTTTTTGGGACATATCTATCACCTTCAATGATGGTGGATACACATTAATATTTACCATAAACTCACAAACCAACCTGTTATCATCCCACACAATTCCTACAATCCGCAATCTGTAAAACTCTCAGCATTGAGGTCTTTAATAAGATGAGCCTACATCCATTGATCTAATGTCATCGACACATACATTGAAAGAATTGCCAAAAAGTATGGATTTCCTACAAATATGACATGTAATTTTATTAGCATCTTTAAAAACACAAGACCTACATCCTCCCAACAGGCATCTAAGAAAACAGTTGAGTTACATTATTTTCCTGTATTAAAATGAGTACATAAAGAAATAGCCAATATGAGCAATGTAAACATCATATATCAGCATAATCCGACAGTCTTTGGAATTCTATATAATGACAAGGATTGTAACAGCCTCAATAACTCCTCTGGTGTTTACACAATTCCAATTGAGGATCAGTATTTTGACACAAATCTAACATATGTGGGGGCTACTGGACATACTTTGGCACAAAGGATTAAGGAGCATAAAAATGCTGTTGAAAAGCATCTCAACACCACTGTATTAGCAGCTTATGCCACCAAACAAGGATAAAATGTGAAGAGGCCAGAATCATTAGACCTGATAGGAATCCTAATACTATTAAGTTCTAGAACTGTTAGAAATTTTTAAAGCCAACCAAAAACTATTTTGTATCAATCATAGAAATGCTGACACCTTGCCTACAGCAGGAAGGTCCATTTCTGAGATGTAATTTGGGACTTGGTCATCTTATAATTGTTTTTGTTTATACTATTTTTAATCACTTTCATACCATTTTGTTTATTTGTATATTTAATTAATTTGTTAATTTTAATTTCTATGCATGTGCTCTCTTTAGAATACTTTAATTTTTAAATTATTTTTGTTGCATTTGATATGCTTATGTTTTAAAAAATATTAAAATTGTCATGAATACACAAAATGATTTTTGTCTGTTTTCTTTCTGTTGTTAAAACGAAGACAAAAATCTTTTTATATATTCATGATATTTTTATATATTGTTAAAAATGTAAATACCATTGGCCAAATTTTAATGCTTATGTTCGTTTATTTTATTTTATATTCATGTACTTCACTGTGGTGGGCCTATGATATTAGATCAAAAATGTTTTAATTTATTAAATTTATTGCTGGAGTTACAAGGTACTCTGTTTATCTAGGATAAAGTGATAGCCAGGATGTTTACAATATATCAATATCAAGGTGTTTAAGCCAGTTCAAGTTTTCTTCAATTTCCACCTCAAGGTAGGTAAGGCTTTTCACCCTAGGTATCCTGAATCCATTAATTTTTATTGTTGGAGTTGTTTTGAAGTTCTTAGAGAAAATGATGTAGATGAATTTACTGAGGTTAATTGGAAGCCTCCATTGTAGATGTTATCCAGTAGGTGATTACAAATATTGACAACATGGTTGTTATTCTTTCTTTCTGTCATCAGTGTACCCTTGTACCATGTGGCTGACAGTCTTGTTCATAGTGTTGAGCAGTTCATTGTGGACATTAGTCCATAGGGCAGGGTTGGCCAGAGCCCTGGGACACCCTTTGGTAATGTGAGGGGTGTATTCCATGCTAGTGGTAGAGAAGACAGCCTTCCTGTCCTCGAGAAAACTGATTACCTGAAACAGGTTCTTTAAGTACTTTTGAAGTTGATCTAATATGTCTGACCACCATAGGTTATCAATAACCCCTTTAAAGTCTATGATCATGAGAACAGTGTGTTTCCCTTGACCCTTTGCTTTTTCGACATTATTGAGGAGAGGATGATAATTTTCAAATTGCCTGGAGCTAACCCTTGTTGACTGTCACTGAGCAGGTTGTTATTCCTTAAGTGTTTTAGAATCTTCCTTGTGACTAGGCCATCAAAGACATTCCCAATAATTGGGAGTATGGAGTAGTCATTGGCTTCGGTTGCAGCCTGGTCAGGGTTTTTGGGGATCAGTTTGACAGATGCTATTTTCCAGTTGCTGGGGAAATACCCTACAGTTAAACGATTGAAGAGAGTTATGAAGAAGGTGGGAGTTGCAGGAAAGGCCTCTTTCACCATCCTTCCACTTAATAAGGCTCCTGGTATTGACAGTATGTTTTTAATCTTCTTGATGGCCTGAGAAACTTTCTCAAAGGTAAATATATCATCATCTGTAGTGTCAGGTGGGGTCCAAAAGTTGGCCCACATCTTGCATTAGTTTGGGTTGTCTTCTTAGTTCTTCAACCATCAGTTTGCTACTGATGGTTGAAGATCTGGCAGATGACATCACTGAAAGATGTCAGTGTTCCATCACTTTTGCAATAATAATAATAAATTACAAATAAATTATTTGTAATTTATTATTATTATTGCCAAATTATAGCCCAATGATTTACGGCAGGTGTTGCTGTGGTATTGTAATGTCCCATCATTTTGTTGGATGCCTGTTTTTTGATGTTTTATAAAACTTATTTAAGTAGAGTACACTCAAAAGCTTGTCAAACTGTGCACATAATTCCCTCCAGGAGCTATGTATTTTCTGGTTAATCTTGGTGTCGTAATGATTGAACCCAATATAAGCAGTCTTGTGATGATTCCATTGATCTTGAATGGCAACCATAAATCCCTCAAGTCTCTCCAAATGGGCAATCCCTAGTTAACCAGTGACAGTTTTGTCAACATAGTCCACAGCTAGATTGTAGGAATGCCTGCCATAAACTGCCTTTTGGGCCTATGACTGTTTAGTGATGTCTATGTTATTTTTGTTGAGCTATGTCCAGGTCTCAGAATGTAAGTTTAAAGGTGTGTATGGTTATTGTCTGCCAGAGTTATAGCTTTATGTAATCTTGATGTTTTTTGCAAAAAACTCCTGCACTATCAGAATTTGTAGTGCAGGTTAATTATATTAGTATGGGCCATGGCCACCTTCTTAATGAGGAAGAGTGTCTTTCTACAGATGATTTTGGGTGATATTTTTTATGCTTAGTAAGTGTTGTTCTTGTTTCCCTTTGTAGTTGCTTGAGATCTGTGCATGTCCAGTGTATACCTCCAAAAGAATAAGTGAGTAGAGGAACAACACAGGTATTAATAGCTTTAATAGTACATTTTGCATTTAGGTGTGTTCTTATTAGCCTTTGTTTTAACTGTGCATGTTCTGTAAGTTTGGCGTGTTGGAATTCTAAATATTTGTAAAACTTCCTTCCATGGATTCAATATCATCTTCAGTTCTGAGTATGAAGTCTCCTTTCTTCAGAACTCCTTTTTCAATGTGTAGTGTTGTAGTGTTTTGCATTTGTCTAGACAAAACTCCATTTGTATATCATGTGTGTGCATGTGTGCACACATACAAATTAAAAGAAATTCATACCAGTAAGTGGGCATGTTCCAATGGCTGCTACAGATACACAGGATATGATGACATGGTAGGTTATGCAAAGTTTCATTTTCATTCTAACAATTTTCTGTAAACTATACACCATTGCAGGTCACACTTATACAGATTATCCACATATATTATGTTATGTTACTGTAATTTGAATTTATTACAGACAATAATACTTTTACTATAAAAGTATTTATAGAAGAGCCTCATTCCTTCATTTTGAAGGAATGAGGCTCAATTTGTAATGAGGTTGTGAAAGTACAGGTATATACTGTTTTGCCAGATATTCATTAAGAATGCAATATGCCAGAACATTATCAAGATAGAGAACCCAGCTTTTTGTTTGCCAGATACCAGGCCATTTTCATCTCACTGCATCATGAAGGAATCAAGAATATTGATGGTAGAACTGCTAACAAGCAATTTTACATCAGGAACAAAGTCATAATGCACCAGACCTTTCATAATCAGAAAAGTCGTAAGAATTACCTTTCAATTTATCTATTAAAATACAAATTAAAAGAAGCTTTTAATTTAATTTGATTATAATTCCAAAAGAAAAAATGCAGACTGCTAAAAGTTATACAAAAATCACTATTAATTCATTAGCCAGTCATGTGTAAAGTCCATGATGTTTAATACAGGCTTCCAGCTACTGTTTACGGATGCAACATTGTTGATATTAATTACGTTTGAGTATTTGGACAACTGATCAATAAATAGCAAATTTTGTGTAACTTTTAGCAATCTACATTTTTCTCTTTTTAATTTAATTCAAGAATAATTCTAAGCTTCTTTAATTTGTATTTTAACGGGTTGTTATTATCATCATCTTGTGTACCAACATTTTAAATTTAAATGCTGCTGTTCAATTCAATCTTATTTAATGTTCCATTGGACGTTATTAAAATTTACAAATAATTTGTGGCTGAAATTGACTCAAGTGAAGCCAAAAAATTTCCAAAATAAATCATTTTCAGTTTTGTGCCCAACGGAATAAAATTGATAAATAGTTTAAAAATTATAACTGCTTGTTCAGATCACCAACAAGTCTTGACTACCCATTTTTTTTATCACTTTTTGGCATAAAAATGTGATATCTTTTGTAATATACAAGAGAAATTCTTATTTTAAACAATGTGCCTGTCTTTCCATTCATTCATATAGAATCCATCCATCACATTTTTTTCACTTTCATTGTAAGCATTGAGGAACTTAAATAATGCACACTTAACTTCTCTGCAATGTGTCTTACTGTTTAATGATGACATCAAAATTCAATTAAAAAAGTCATTTATTTACTGATCTATACGTTCTTTTAGTCATCCATGTGGCTCATTTATCCCAATCAAAATTTTTTTGAACCAACATTGCACTATTTGTTCATTAGATTTACTTTCCCCAATACCATATTAATGTTGTGAGTTGCTTCCATGGTATTGTCTGAATTTGATTAGGATCCATTATCCACTTTAAAAAATTTGTTTTATGTAACTTTAGAGGAAAAGAATGTCTATAGTACAGCAGACTGCAAGCTTTAATCTAACATACACTGGCAGATACCAATAGTTAATTCCCAAATTTAACCAAATACACCAGTCTGTAAAATATGCCATTTTGTGTGCAATAACTCAATATAATTTTAATGTAAAAATTAAAATATTACCATCTGTAATAAAGAATATTAGCAAATAGTGTATCAGGTAGTAACGATTCTTTGTCCATCTGTTCCATAGATTCACAATCTGAACTCAAAAGTATCTTCTGCAAGTCCTTTATTAAATTTTCTTGAATTGGCAGTGGAAGTCTATAAAATATAATTTAAAAGATATTTAATAAAAATAGAAAACTTGCATCATTAATTATATAAATATTTAAGAAAACTAAATGTATTACAATTCCAAATTAAAATATAATAGATTCAAAATAATTAAACTATTTAAATTATAACAAAATAATCACTCACACTTTTTCTAATAAATTCAAATTCCATTTCAGAAAAGCAGCTGCTTTTAAAGCCAACAACTTTAAAGCAAGACTCTTTTTATTTTCGGCCTCCTGTTCAGTAGATACTGTAACAAAAGATTTAATTTGTTTAATCCCAGATTATTTACAGCATCAATAGAAAGTAGTGACAAACAATCCACAACTAATAACTTCATGAAAACCTTTAACAATAGTAACTGAAAAATTTCAGTGTATTTAATATTTTGAAAATTGAATTTTTATACAAAATTAGTTTAAATGTTTTTTAAAAAAATATTTCAACTAATTTTGTTTAATATTAAGTTGAACTCACATTTATATAAGAAAATTTCTGTTGAACTTAGTCATTAATTTTGTCAAACAACTTTTACAGGAGAAATGTTAGATTAGGACAAGCACAATTAAAGCAATAACTATGAACAAAACCAAATTAAAAAAAATAATAAATTCTATTCAAAAATTAGACAATCTTAAATTTATAACAAAGTTTAAGTAGTCTAAAACAGTGGTTCCCAACCATTTTTACAGTATTTATTCCCCATCGGGGCTCACATGCAATGGTGTCTTCCCCAACATAGGCACAAATGTTTATTGTTCTGTATTTATTTTCTTTTATTACGAATTAAATGATACCAGTAAAGTTTGATTGGAAATATGAAGCAAAAATACAATTGCACTACAAAAACTATAGATATAACTATTTGCACAAATAAAATGGGTATTTTATTTATAGATATAGATGTGAGGAAGGACAAAAGACACCTCTGTGGGGTCTGATCAACGTTGGCTTGATACTACTCACTTTAGAGGTCGTCCTTAAGTTGCAAAATGACCCTTATGACCCTTGTTTTGCTCGCGATCTGTCAGGATGACATGAGAAAGCCTTTTTACGTATGGGGTAGTGGTTTGCTGGAAGCAAAGATGACTCACACAGAGGCCAAAATGACTAAGTTAACGTGTTTATTTGACAAGACATGCTTACAATGATGGCAATTTGCCAATCTGACAAAGTCAACCGATGAAAGTTCTTTTTGGAGGAGAAACTTCCTATAGAACCAAAGAGAGTTCCTCCTTGATCCCAGTTGTCAGGGAGAACAGGGATCTACATCAGGAGATAGGTACCAGTCTGGATAGATAAGCGTTTTCGGGTAAAGTTATCTATCCAGACTGGTACCTATCTCCTGATGTAGATCCCTGTTCTCCCTGCCTCCAGCAACAACTGGGATCAAGGAGGAACTCTCTTTGGTTCTATAGGAAGTTTCTCCTCCAAAAAGAACTTTCATCGGTTGACTTTGTCAGATTGGCAAATTTCCATCATTGTAAGCATGTCTTGTCAAATAAACACATTAATTTAGTCATTTTGGCCTCTGTGTGAGTCATCTTTGCTTCCAGCAAACCACTACCCCATACGTAAAAAGGCTTTCTCACGTCATCCTGACAGACCGTTCGCAAAGCAAGGGTCGTAACATTTCACTTTAAGGACAACCTCTAAAGTGAGTAGCGTCGGCCCAATGTCAATCAGACCACATGGTCTCAGTTCCTCATATTGGTGTCGAGAAGTGGGATTTTAAATCCCCAGACACCTCTGGGCTAGCATCCTTGCCAGTCAGGTTACGTCTCCACATAGACCATTTTTGACAGTTTGTTTCTTCTGAATAAAAATTATAATAATGTAAATTGAAAACATGTTTTGCATATTTTCATAAACTGTAGATACCAATGAAAAATTTGAGCTTGGTTTGAAATGCACAAACAATGTGTGGTTCTGACTATCAATTCCATGAGCAAGTCATTCTCTACATTTAGCTGATTTCTGTATTTCATTTTAACTGCAGCCACTGCTGAAAATTCAACTTTGTACAGGTGCTTCATTGAAAATTGAAGGAGCACTCTAGAGTACTTTTTGTAATTTCTGTATATTCGTTTCAAACTGAAAGCTAAAATTCCGGAAATGAAGTTTTACAAAAGGCTATTTTTAGTGTCTTGTCGCTCAAAAGTTCAAGTAATTGCTCTTGACCAAAAATGCTTATTCTGAAATATCACTTGTTACAGAGAATGGATCTTGAATCCAATCGCAGGCATGGTTGGCTATCTGAGGAAAGTAGTCTTTGAACTGGTTTTTCAGTGCAGATAGATGCACCACTACTCTATTCACAACAGAAGTTATAGTAGAGCTATCATCAGCTTCCTATGCTATGAATTTTGTAGGCAATGGAAACCTTTCAATTACCTCACAGTCAATATGAGCTTTCTAAAAATCTAGCTTCTTAAAGCCTTCAATTTTGTCCTGCGTATCCAGAATATTTGAGTTCTTTCCTAGCAATGACACATTCAAATTGTTTAGTTTTTTAAAAATGTCCACCAAATAGGCCAATGTCGCTAAAAATTCAACATTACACAAATGTTCTGACAATTGTATTTTCCCAAGCAGAGAAATTCTAAATTCATCATGCAGATCAAAAAGACACTGCAGAACTTTTCCATATAACAGCCATCTGACTTCACTGTGATAAAGCATATGCTTACGTTTAGATCCCATTTCTTCACTAAGTTCAGTAAAGCTTATTGCTTTACTGAACTTAGCTTGCAATAACAGAGATTTGATGCAATTAACAATTTTAACATTCAAAGAGTTGCAATGCAGATATTTGACTTTCTTTTTCTTGTTGAATTAACTGTGTTTTCAAATCAACAGCCAAGTCATCAATTTGCCATGAAATTGTATTATTTGATAGTGAAATAATTCATAATGCCTTTGCAACTTCCTCTCCATTCATAATGCAACACGTTTCTACAGCTGCCAGAAGCAACAAATTCTTGGCAATAGTGTACAATTTCTTACATTTAACCATTTTCTTAGCCACTACATAAGAAGCTTTCAATGCTTTCTTACAATACCATAACTTCTTTTGACATTACAATCTTCTGTCATTTCAATTCCATCTCGTTCTGAACAAAAATCTCATGATCCTTATGTGGATAGTCTTCACACACTGTTTCCAGATGCCTTTCAAGCTTTGAGGGCTGTCATTGGTAAGAATTCAAAACAAATGACACAAAAGGCTGTTGAATGCTGGATTTGGTACGAAAATAAGAAAATCCAAACTTGATATAACTTATGTCATATTGCCTGCACGTTTTCTTTCCTTTATCAGGGGCTATACTTGTGTTGTCAGTAGTAATCCTGCTACTATTAGTTTTGAGTTGTTCAGAAAATAATTTCATTGTTTTTACCACTAGAGGGATTAGTTGTATTTTTACCTGCCATTTTCATTCATTAATTGACATTATATATATTTGACAGCTGACATTTTAAGGCATATTTGTAAAAAATTTTGTTTGATTTTGTGCAATTGTTTATTTTTTGTGTCTCATCAAACATGAAAGATCAAAAGCATCATTTTCAGCATATTTTGCTTTTTTATTACCAAAAAATCAAAATGCTGTGTTAGACAAGGAATTAAAGAATTTAAAAATACAACAGAAAGTAACAGAAGAAGATATCAACTACATAAAAAGAGAAGACAACAGAATACCGAAATTTAACATAAGGGTAAAAACACGTAAAAATCCTACTAAATATAGACCATTAATAGACGTTAAAAATTACGTATATTATAATTTAGAAAAATATTTAAAGGATAAATTAAATTTATTAGAAGTTTCTCAATATAGTATAAAAAATGTAGATGAATTATTAAATAGATTAAAAAATATAAAAATTAATGAAAATATGAAGTTGATATCACTTGATGTTGTAAACATGTATCCTAGCATAACACTAGAAGATATAGAAAATTCTTTAAGAAAAATAAATACACCAGACTGGATAATTAAATTATGCCTAATTGTAATGAAAAATAATTATTTTCAGTACGATAAGAAATTCTACACCCAAACAGAAGGAATACCTATGGGTACATGTATAGGTCCAAAATTGGCCGAAATAACAATGATACAAATAGATGAAAAGATCAAAAATATAGAAGGTATTGAATTTTACAGCAGGTATGTGGATGATTGCATAATAATTTTTGATAAAACGAAAACAAATGAAGATATAATTATAAATAAGAC